TCCACCCTTAGCACAGAGCCCCACATGGGGCTCGATCTCATGACCCTGAGATCATGACCTGAGCCTAAATCAAGAGTCGGACGCTTAACTGACTGAGCCACCTGGGAGCCCCCTACTCTTATCATAGCACTCTGATCTTATTTATTGTTGCTATAACCCTAAGATTATATCAAAAGTAAGAAATAGATGTTTTAAATGCCTTTCCTGTTTTCTACATTTCCTCTGCTTTCAATGAGAGTGTTTCCTCTGCTTTAGTGAGCAGTAATTGTTTATTTTCTTCCTCTGTTGAAGCTGCTGACTCTTCTCATATACTCAGTCTTTATTGCTTAGCTTTATCCATGTACATCTAGATTAAGCAGGACTCCTAGCTGATACACATTCCTTAGTATTCAAGTAGGTCTGGGCAGGGATAGAGCGATGGGTGGGGAGCATACCAAGGCATGCCTTGTATTTGAGATAGGTGAGTCAAGAAGTACGGTCAGCTTCCTCCTACCCCACCCCTCCCACAGTGAGGAGGAAGATGACTATGGGGTCTGCACTTTTTCTCAGGATATAGTAAGTGAGAACATACGAATAACCTCTCAAGCATGCTAGATAGGATTAGAGCAGCATTTTCAGTCCGTCTGTATCCTTGTGTAAGTTTCCTTGTGTAAGTTTTATCTTAGGTGAACTGAGTAATGTCCATGGCAAACAGCTTTTGTTTCACAGTTTCTCTCCCCACATTTACTCTGGTAATAGTGCTCCTTCTTTCTTTGACAATGCCTTTTCTACTCCTCCAGTTATATAGGGGATTCATAGTATTGAGGGTTGTTTGTCACAGAAATTTGCCTATCTCCTTCCCATATATAGTCACAGTGGTAGGCATGTGATTAAGTTCAATGTGAGTTTTGGTTTAAATTAAGTCGTTAATTTAAATGTTAAATTATGATACCTTGTCAACCTGGTCCCATTGATTGGTCCAAAGGATGAACAATGAGCCAAGCCAGTTCAATCAGAGCCCTTCTCCAGCAGTTTTTTGAAGTAGACCTTGAATAGTCAAGCTCTGAAATGTGAGCTTAAAGGATTTAAATGGCCAGCTCTCAGATCACAAGGAGAAAAATCAGTAAGAGAAAACCAGCAGACATGCTGAAAGAAACAGAGTTGTGAGTACTTGATTTTGGTAACAAAGTTTCCTGGAGTGTTCTAGTTCTTGCTTTCTATGAAGTCCTTCATATAACTCTGTGAGAGACCCAGATAAAGCCCCCTTTGGCCATGTTGGTTCTAGCTGGCATTCTTTATTCTAACTGACATAGTCAAAGGGGGTTTTATTTGGGTAGCTCATAGAGTTATATCATATATATATCTATATCACACACACACACACACACACACACACACACACACACACACATCCAAGCCGAATAATATATATTATTTCATCTATTTCATCCCAAGGAAATCTAACTCTTTGAGTGGGACCTTGCTGATTTCCAGGGATTGGACAATATTTTCTCAGCAGGGACGGCAAGAGGGACAGAATCAAATGCCATGCTAAGCTCACTATCTTGGAAATATATTTGTTTATCTATATGTCTATCTACATCCATATAAATACATTTATTAAACATTGCCTCTATTTTAATTTTCTTTCCTTCCTTGAGAACTGCCTCAGTTCTCATGAATTTCTTTCTCTTTGTGAACTATGAACAGATTTTTCCTCACACTAAAATCGGGAAATTGTGAAGAAGTTCAACTTTTATAGTAAGAATACAATTTGGATTTGATTCCAAAAAGCATGTGTAACAGGGTATCACTACCATACAAATGTTATTTCAGAAAAAACAAATTCCATATCTAGTGATGTTAACAATTAATTTTTTGGTCTTGGACTAGTTTCAGGCCCTGAGAGCCTGATATGATCTGGATACACACTCACCATCCTAGACTAAATCCCTAGGCAGTCTTTGCACTTTGATGCAAGATAATAATTTAAACAATCTTTTCTTTGACTTCCATTTAAAATTTGAAAAAAAAATTTCCATTATTTTAGCAGCTAAAAGTTCCCCTTTTCACATGATGGTAAGCAAAAATTGTTCTAGGAAATAATGAAATTTGAGCCATAATATAATGCATTATCTTTGTTCATGAGAAAAACTTTTCTTTTTCTTTTTTTTTCAAAAACCTATGAGAAGACAAAATTAAGATGCTTAATCTGTTCTGATAACATAATTGAGCAATTTTTTATCTGAAGCAGAACTTTGCTCTTCAGGTGTTCTTACAGTTGGCAATTAGCAATTGGTAATTAGAGTTGGTAATCAAGTTTCACAAAGTTTAATGAGTCTTCTGACTAGCCTTACCACCTTTAATGACACATCCCTTTCTCGGTCCTCTGACAATCATATCCAGACACTTCTTTTTCCTATAAACACCCCACTGATGGAAAAAAATCTTCGAACTATCTTCATTTCTAACTAGCTGGCTTGCTGCATGTTTAAAACAAATCTGTGTCGGGACGCCTGGGTGGCTCAGTTGGTTAAGCCGCTACCTTCCGCTCAGGTCATGATCCCAGCGTCCTGGGATCCAGTCCCACATCGGGCTCCTTGCTCAGCGGGAGCCTGCTTCTCCATCTGCCTCTGCCTGCCTCTCTGTCTGCCTGTGCTCACGCTGACAAATAAATAAATAAAATCTTTAAACAAACAAACAAAAAACAAAACAAATCTGTGTCCACACTAAGTCTCTCTGAAAATTTGTCCTAATATACTGTAAAATGTGCACTGAGTGTGGGAAGACAGGCAGCCTGGATTTCTCTGGTTCTCTTGCCCCCTTACATCTCTGACAAAAATTCTCATCTCCACATCTCCATGTCTGCACTTACCTCCAGGTTTTATCTGAGCCATTTTTCTTATTTCAAACTCTCTATTTGATTTAGAATAACCACTCCAAGTCCATTCCTTTTTTTTTTTTTTAACTCTAAAATTCCATCTCTGAAAGTGACTAACCCCCTTTGTTTCAAATCTCTCTTCTACTCGCCTGTCCCTTGGAGCCTCAGAACGCTCCAACTTGTTCCACCTCTGGATGTAACCCTTGGTCTTCCACTAAGTTGTTCTCTGTGTATGTGGTATAACTCTTGGTTAGTTACAAACTTCTCTGATGCCTCTGACAGGGCTTTGGTGGTAATAAAACATATTAAAAAGCTAACATGGGGGGGTGGTTATTACGCTCCAGACACAATGCTAAGTAATTTACCGGCCAAGCATTTAGAATACTCCCTGGCATATAGTAAGTTATTAATAAAGCTTTGTTATTGCTACTTTTTATAGCCCTATGAACTTGGTACTATTTTTATCTCCACTTTACAGATAAGGAAATTGTGAGGCACAGAGAATTACATAACTTGTCCAGGACCACAGAGCTCATTAAGTGGCAGGGACAGAATTGAACTCAGTCTGTTTGATGCCAATAGTTATTCATGTTTTTAACAACTACAGAAAATTTGGCTAAACACACACACACACACACACACACACTCTCTCTCTCTCTCTCTCTCTCTCTCTCTCATGAATCTCGTTTCTGCAGGTTTCAGAACAGTGTAAGTTGTACGCAACACAGGTTTTACTTTGAAATTCTTTTCTCTTTTCAAATTCAGCTGCCTCATAGATATAAGGAAAAAGGCACAAGGATTTGTACCTCCCTGGAGAGTGTCATTGTGAAATTTCGAGGCCACTGAAATACGTATCCTTAGGGAGAATAAGAGTTTTTCAAAACTTCTAAGTTGCTAAGGAACTGAGTTTTTGGTGTTTTGTTTGTGTAACTGTTAGTAGGCTCTTCAGTCAGCTTTTAAAAAAAAAATTATTATTTTTTTTTTTAACTAACATATAATGTATTATTTGCTTCAGGGATACAGGTCTGTGATTCATCAGGCTTACACAGTTCACAGCACGCACCATAGCACATACCCTCCCCAATGTCCATCACCCAGCCGCCCTATTCCCCCTCAACCTCCAGCAGCCCTCAGTTTGTTTCCTGAGATTAAGAGTCTCTTCTGGTTTGTCTCCCTCCCTGGTCCCATCTTCAGTCAGCTTTTTGAGTTGTATTTTCTTTCCTAGTTCTTAGCAATACCTCGTATTTGCTCTGGTAGAAAGAACTAGACTACGTCATGGGCTAAGCAATGTTAAAAGTTTGTGGATATAATTATAACAGATTAATAATAGCATCAGAGCCTCAACACCCATCGTGTAATGCATCTTAACTTCTTACAACTATTTCATTGGATGCTCACGATTGATCTGTGGTGTTATGGCTTTTCTCCCAGTCCTCTTGCTTGATTATAGAGGGAGAGCTGCCCCACTTCTGCTGTTGTCCCCTAGAGTTCTAAGCAGGACTTTACTTTTCTTCTGATCTCCCCTCCTTCTCCTCCCTCCCATATGCCGCTGCCTGCTTCTTCCTTAGCTGTCAGAGCCTACTTGAAAGGAACCGAAAATCGCCGGACCCCAGGGCCTGAGGCCCTTTGAAAGGCTCCCGGGGTCCCCGGGGACCAGATTCTCAGCCCTAGCAGCCAGGGTGCCATAACCCTTCCACTTAGCAGCCCGGCACCCAGATTCCATCCCCTGGAAGCTACAAACCCCTGAGCTCCACCCACCCCTCCGGCCAGAACCCGGCGCGATCGCCTCCCTCCGGATTTCCACTGAGGGGAACGATTAGGCTGGAAGGCGGTTACAGATGCCGGGGGCGCCTTGCGAAAAACCGTGGTGTCCTCCAGAAGAAAGTCGGTTTCCTCCAGGGCCTGCAGTTGGCGGCACAGCCCCGCTCCACCTGGAGAAGGAGGCGGCTCCCGCGAGCGGGGCCCCGGGGAGGCGCGCGGCGGGCGCGGGAGCCGGGACTGGAACGCCGAGCGCCGCGGGGTCGGGTCCCGGCCGGCGGCACGTCCAGGTTGCCGCGGGAGCAGAAGGCGTGCACAGCAGTCCTCTGCCGGGCGAAGGCCTGGCCGCCCTGCCTGCTGCCCTCTCTCCCGCCTCCCGCCCCAGAAATTATCTCAAGCGTTGCCAGTTTGATTCCAGAGCCCCACTCGGGTGGGTTCTTTTGTTTCTTTGTTTTAATGACAGTTCCCAGCTCTTGGGCATGTCATGCGCGATTAATTCCCTGGCTCTGTTGAAGGCAGCTGGGATGAAATTTCTTCTGCATCATCCTTTTGGGGATAATTGCTTATGATGTGACGTCAGCCGGATTGATTTTTCTCTCTTTCAAGAGAGAAAGGGAGGAGGGAGGGAGAGAGACTCACGGACGTGTGCGGAGGCCACAGACATTAACGTCTGGAATTCCTTCAGGGCAAAAGGAGATAGGAATGGGAGCTTACAAGTGTGCGGCGAAGACATCAGACTGCACGGAATTATTAACAAGTTTTTCTTTCAGAGAAGAGAAAAAAACCCCAATCCCCTCCGCAGCGAGCCACTTAGGTGCTCCTTTCATGCCCGAGTCCCCCGTTAAGGTGGCAGCGTCTGATAATTAATCTCGGGTACCCAGCCGCTGCAATAGGCTTAAGAAGACGAAGAGGAGGGGCGGGGAAGTGCGTCACCAGGTGGGGAAGGGGCTGTGCGTTTGGTGACAAGCGGGAGGGGTGGGGGTGGAGGGGAATAGGGACGGAAAATAGGTTCTGTGTGCTCTCCCGGGGTATTGTGTCAGGAGATGCAGGCTGGCTACCATGTGACGCGGTCCAGAGCTGAAGGGATTGGCCGAGGCAGCGCAGGCGGTGCAGCTCGGCCGGCTTGCTGTTCCTCTCCCTTTCTCTCGCAGCATCTTCCTGGGAGCCTGTAGGTGAAGCGGCACCAGCAGCATCCATGGCCTGTCTTTGGGGTTAACACTTGTCTCCTTTGGCTTCAGCAGTGGACAGAGCGGACCTCTCGGCAGCGGCGTTGTGAGGACTTAGCTGGGACCTGGAATCTTATCCTCCTGTATTTTTTCAGACTCCTTGGAAATTAAGGAATGCAATTCTGCCACCATGATGGAAGGTAGGATGCTTTCCTCTGTGGTTGACTGGCTTCAGGCAAGGTTTGGGTAGAAGAGCGTTGAAGAATGTGTGCAGCCTGGGTTTGTGGCTGGTCTAGAACCTGGTTGCCAGGATTTGCAAACAGAAATGCTGCAGTTTGCTTGCAGCAGACCAGGGCTCAGACTAATGGAAACAACCACAAGGCTTCTGTTTAGCTCAGAACCTACGAGCTCCCAGCTCTTCTGGGGGGGTGGGGAGCACCTAAAGTGCTTCCAGGGAGCTGAGATAGAGCTAAGAAAGAGCTTGCAGAGCAAATAAGTTGGGAGAGAAGATAAGGTTTTCTGCTCTGGGTTCCTGGGACTACATGATTAAACATTTACAATGGAAACTTGTTTTCTGAAATTGACATTAGATAGGGGAGGTCATTGACAGAGTTATCCATGCTGTCGTTTTCAGTGAACTGTTTAAGTTTTTTAAAAAAAATTCTTGTAAGACATTTTTATCTCCGCAATTTACATGTTATTGTTGGGGTAGGAAGTGCAGCAAATTTGGTCCATAGCTATAGTTACACGGGGATGTCATTGCAACAGAACGAGCAATATGAGGAAAATATCTGGGCCTCTTAGCCCCGTATTCAGGGTCTTATCAGGTTAAAAAAAAAAAAAAAAAGACTTTTGCTCTTCCTAAATGCATTCCCATGCAATGATTCTTAGCCAAGCACCAAATAATTACTTACTGATTACCTTTTTGCATTCGATATTAAGTGTAAGAAGGAACTTTCCCTAGGGAGATGTTGTTTAAACTATATTTTATTCTACTAAATTACCCTTCTAAGCCTGAGATAGTTGACAACCAAGATTGCCTCAAAAAAGCAGCAAGCTGATTAGGAAAGAAGCAGGCAGCCCTACCCTGTCTTTGATTTTGTTTTCACACTACAGGATGGTGCAAAACTCCTGGCCTTTCCTAAGATGACAGGCAGAAATTTGTCCCCAGCCTGGATTTCACAATGCAGAATCCAGTGCATAATGGGTCTCAAATCAGCCATGAAAATGGCAGAGAGGCCACCTCTTAAGCCAAGGTCTGTCCTACAGATTTTAAACATTCCTTAGAAATTTACCAAAATGGAATAAGAGGAGGATGTTTTCAAAAAGCAGTGGTGTAGCCCGCACTTATTTGGTAGAAATGAATTCTTTTTGCTCTCTCTGTCATCATGTCAAACACTGTTAATGTAATTTGGGGGAGTGAAGAATTCTACAGTCATGGCTCACAGATTTTAGAAAATAACCTTAAAAGAGAGATTGGGTATCATTTTGTTTTGGAGCCTCGTCTTGTTTGCAAAGAGCTCTCAAGCTAGTTCTTTAAAATACAGGTCTAAATAAACTGAGATTACTAATGCCCTAAGATTAAATAATTTTCATTAATTTGAAATGAATTTAATCTTTGAATTACAAGGCAAGACAAACAGAAAGAGTATTACTGATATATACTTTTCAATTTAAACTCATGTGGATTACCCTTTTCAGGAAAAAAAAAAAAAGAACAATCTTATCTCTAGAGGTAGTATATTTCTCCAGCTAAATTTCATTTGTAGCATTTCCTAAAAAGAAATCTGCATACATTCTGATTAGGTCTGAATCTTACACAGAGAAGTGGAAGATCTTTCATTTTCACTTCTTGCCTTGCAAACTACGGAGTTAAAGTGTCTTTTTCGAAGGAAGTAATATTTATTGACGCTCATTAACAACTCTCCTGGTGATATCGTTTATTGTGCTATTCTAGAATGTCAGTTGGTTCAAAGCCCTATGTTAAGCTTATCTGAGCTGCCTAAACTGAGATGAGAACTGTAACAAAGACTTGTGTTGGAGCTGAATTAGCACTATTGCCCTGGGTCTGCCAAATTCATCCAATGAAGGATGTTTTTTAGCACCGTTTTGAATTAGAGGTGACACTATAGATGCAGTTGCCTTCCGTGAGATCCCTGCAAAAAAAAAATGGACAGGTGTTCCCATTGGCTTCAAAATATAAATGAAACTAATCATTTTTATATACCCACAGTTCCTACTTAAATGCTTTTCAAGACTTATTATCTTAGTGGTTCAGTGACCTTAGAAAGGCGGGTAGGAACCTTATCTAGAGATCAATTTGCCTATCAACAGCCTTGTAACTTAGTTGCCAGTCTTTTTGACAATACATGTATGTTTCTGATATTGCACCCCAGAATTTTACCTCTGAATTGTTCGTGTCAGGAAGATGTGGCGGAGCAGTTATTTCCACTTAACTCACCCCTAGAGGAAGTAGACTGTTCCATCTATCACAATAACCTTGGAAAAATAAGGAACCCCTCAAAGTCACCCTAAAATCCTGTCATGGAAGCCCTCTGCTGAAACATCAGTGGGCTCTCAGGCTGTGTCATCCAACATTAAGATGGTTAAATGATGTCTCTCCTCAACTAGTACATTTCATCTACGTGCCCACATGCATACACACGGTTATGCACACATGCAGTCGTCAACACATATACATTATTAAGGAAGGGAGAGACCCTACATTTACACTGTATATATTTTGACATTCATCAAAGGGTTTAATTGGCTGCTCAGGAAAAACATGGCCATGGCAACTTTTCAAAGCTACTTCAAACTCTGTGTAAAACAGGAGTAAACAAATATTCTTCAGAATGGCTCATAGTTTGTGATCCTGTTTTGATGGAATCAGATACGGGCTCCATTCATTCAATGCCTAGTGGAAATTCTGGTCGTAGATGAGGAACGTTACTACCTCCCTAGTGATGCCAACATCCCTGAAGGTAGGGAAATAATTCTGCAGGGACCTCAGACGTGTTACCAGAAGTTTGTGGCTCCATGATTCCTTTCAAATATTTTCATTTAAAAACATATATTTTAATTTGATACTGGATTCGCTGATTCCTGCTGTCTTTATTTTTTGGGTAGCGGTTCGTATTGAGTTCTGTCTTTCCCGAGGAATGCCACGTGATATGGAGCCTTCTGTATGAATGTGGAGGGAAAGAGGGTGAGCAAAGGGAGTTATGTGCTAAAAGGCTCATGTACTGGTTAAGCTTACAATGCAGTCTGTGTGATAAGGGCAACTCTTCAAGGATTCTGTCGTTTTCATGCATTCCTATTAAAGTTTGAAAAGGCCATTTTAGTTACCCCTTCCTAAGATAAGTGAAGCAAAGTCAGTGTTTCTTAGGACATCTCTGTGTTTGTAGGGCAACCTGGGAAGTTTTCCCTTGTCTCACAGAACTGTCCGCAATTACCTGTGCTTTCAGTTCCATAGTCAGGCTCTTAGGTACCGTCTTGGAAGGATGAGTTTTAGGGTGCCAGTGGTTTCATCCTATATAACAATTTTTAAAATTAACAAGTACATTGTTAAGGGGTTGCTGGATATAATTGTAATGTACAGGGTGATTGAATAATTTTTGTAATATTTACTAATCATGATGGCCTATAAACAAGTGTATTCTGCAAGCAGTCCTTTTTTGAAATTGTAAAAATAAAAAAATAATATTTTGAAGCAGAAAATGGGCAGAAAGGAATTTGAACCCAATTTCATTTTTTTTTAGTTCATTCAAGTTCTTATAAATAGCATAAACCAAATTGGAGTTCTTTATTATGCCATGTATCTATTGCTTCCTTCAATTTTAGAGGAAAAACAATGAACCAGCATAGTCACCTGGATGTTTTGCATTAGTGTGTTTACCCCAGAAGACATAATTATATGGTTTTCCTGAATTCCAATAAATGGAGAAGAGGATTTTCTGGACCCAAGTTCATTTAACAACAATGCCTATATATTTTTTTTTTTTATATTTATTTGACAGAGAGAGAGAGATCACAAGTAGGCAGAGAGGCAGGCAGAGAGAGAGGGGGAAGCAGGCTCCCCGCTGAGCAGAGAACCCAATGCGGGGCTCGATCCCAGGACCCTGGGACCATGACCTGAGCCGAAGGCAGAGGCTTTAACCCACTGAGCCACCCAGGTGCCCCACAATGCCTATATTTTTGATTCCTCATAACATTTTATAATAGGAACTTAAAAAAAAAATTTGTATCAAGATGGGCATCTTAACCTAACTGAAAACTAGGAGCTAACTGAAAACTAGTTTCTTGGGTGGTATATTCTGTTTCTCTCTCTCTTTTGAATATGAATACCCACAGACCATACCTTTTATTTATTTTTTTGTTTCTTAATACCTTTTTAAAAAGATTTTATTTATTTAAGTGAGAGAGAGAGGGAGAGTGAGAGAGTGAAGCAGACTCACCACTGTGCAGAAAGCCTGATGTGGGACTCCATCCCAAGATCCTGAGATCGTGACCTGAGCCAAAGGCAGATGCTTAACCAATTGGACCACCCAGGCACCCAGACCATACCTTTTAATTCCTCATTAATGCCTTTTATCTCCAAAATTATTATTTATACAATTTCGAACAATCCTAGCTTAACTGAGCTTTTGTTGTTACAATGAAACTTATAATAGTAAAGACTTTTTTTTTCTATCTAGAAATAGAGTTTTATTTATTTGGAAAATTCTTTGATCTGATGAAAAAGGAATAAAGCATTTTGAAGCTGGAATTGTTCATTTTCTAGTTAGCTAAGAAGTTTTAAAGGGAATGCTTCTAACTTCCCAGAAAAAGTGAAGTTATTTTGGAAAATCTTAAGCATGCATATGAGATTCTAGTACATGGGCCATGCTTTATGTAATTTCTCTCCTTCCTCGAGGCTCTGTGTCAGAAAGAGACTTCTTATATGTGTAACTTCCCATACAATTCCAAGGGTCAACACTTTAAATCTCTAAAAAGAATATGCAGTCTTAAAAAACTTATCTTAGATAAACCATTCTAGAAGACTCTGGACAATTCTTTCTTTTGGATTTGGCACATACATTATCCCTGTTTCAAATAATAATTGCAGGAAGTCACCAACTCAGTTTTTATGTTCCTGAAAGTTTGTTTATGAATTGCTCACTTGAAACAGGTTTTCCCATAGGAATAATGATATATATGA